TCCCTTACTTAGAAGGGAATCTGTTAAGTTTGGAAGATGTTCAAGGATGATTTGGCTAGGAAGATTGGTAATGGTAAATTAACTTCCTTCTAATTTGACACTTGGTCTGATTTAAAGAAACCTCTACTAGACTTGATTTTGAGTTATAAAGATTGGGTTATCTAAGAAAAAAAAGTTATTGACTTTGTTAGCCCTTAGGGGAATGGATCAGACAAAAGCTTAGCTATTAGTTGTCACACTATGTTATTGATCGCATTACTTCTGCTTACCCACCTCGTCAAGAGAGAAGAGAGGATAAATATTATTGGCAATTTTCCACTGATGGTCGATTTATTTTTAAATCTGCATATTATTTTTAAATCTACAATACGTAATTATGTTATTTAATTTTTATATGTTAAATTGTATCTACATTATTTTTAAGATCATCTCATGCCTCGAAGTGTTTGAAACTTGTGTTCTTGTTACTTAACCTTACAAAGTTAAGCTTGGGGTTACAGTGATTGGGGTTAATTTATTTTATATACATGATGTTGTGAGGTATTTTCTCTCCTTTTTCTATTGTGAAAATACGTTTATGAGTAAAGTATATATTCTTCTTATATTATGAATGTTGGTGAAATAGGAAGTGCGTTGACTTGAATATGTATGGGTTTACATTGGTATAGTGTTCATGTTATATTATGAAGTAAAGTGGAGGTATTTGTTGTGTATTGTGAAAAATGTGTTCTTTAACTTGATGAATCTTGTCATGATAAAATTGTTATACCATGAGATATATGTTCTTTGTTGTTAATTAATATTGTTATATTGTGATTTTGTATTAGGGTCATAATGGAGATTAGGGTTGTGTTATGTGGAGGATAATTATTCTTAAAGCCCATGCGGCATGCCAATGTTACCGATCACAGTGTTTGGCCCTATTTAGACCCTTATAGTTCTTTCTTTTTCTCAGCTTGAAATTGAGAACAAACTCCTAGATACACACCTTTGCCCATAGTCCATTCTTAGGCCATATAGATGTTGGAAGCGGCCTGTTGACTTGATGTGAGTGGGGTGACTTTTGACTGAGTTGCTTAACATAGAAGGTCTGGGTCCTTGTCATGGATATACAAGGAGGAGTATGGTGGATGGGATGGTCATTTATATTGTTACGCGGTTTGTCACATCTACTGTTATATATTTTATCTTTCAAATATTTATCATAACACTATTTCACTGACTTATCATCCCACTTATACATGTTCTAAATTAATCACTAGTTACTGAAATTTAATGTCTTACCTCATTGTTCTTCGTTGTCTTTAGGAGAGCCTTCTAGTTTGGCTCATCATGAAGAAAAGTAGCCAAAGGCGTAGGCGAGTATAGCCTAGTAAACCTATTTTGGCTTGGACTTGTAATGATTGTGTATTTGCCATGCTGGGGCCCATGTTTTGTAATTATTTATATAACTACTTCTATTATACTTTTGGACTACTAGGGTGATAATAGAGTGGCCATAGGCCGTAGGTTCTTGTTGCATGTGTCTCTTTGGTGGACTTAAGAAAGAAGTAGTGGCACCAGTGATCTCATATCCTGCACAATGTTGGTTAAGGGCATTTTTTTAGCACAAGCTGTTTGTCTTAGATGGTAGACAACAATATGAGTGAGAGTTTTAATACCTAGATAGATGGATATAGGCATTTACCTATTATCCGCATGATTAATGGAATTCGGATAAAATTTATGAGTAAGTTGGGAGAGAGTGAGAGGAATGTGGAAAGTCAAAGGGGAAACTTTAGTCTTAAGAGCATAAGTATGTATGAGTTAGATAAGGACCTCTCAACTAGCTGTAGAGGATACTTTAATGGTGACTATAGCTATGACGTGATAGATGGAGATAATAGACACACAATTTTCATTGCTAGGAAGCAATGCACTTGCAGGGTACAGGACTTGACTGGTATTCCACGCCAACACACAATATGTGCTCTATTTGATGTTAAAATAAATATAGTATCCCAAATTTCAAGATGCTATCATAAAGACAAAAGTTTCTCGGCAATTGACAAATTTCATCCAATAGAGCTACCTTCTTTGTCCAATATGCCAAGAAGACCAAGGAAAAAGAGGTCAAAACTAGAGAAGTTGTAAGGATAAAGAGAATTACAAGTAGCTAACAGTCTGAACAAGTTGAGACTAGTGAGATGGCTTTTGACCTGCCACCACTACTAACCTGAGAAGCTGAGCAAGAGAGGATCTTGAGGCAAGTGCAAAATTTCTCCCTAAAAGGGCCACAATAGGACAACATGTAAAGATGTGAGTTTTTATTTGATTCAAATTTTCATTTTCCATGTTATAATTAATTACTCCATGATTCATATTTGTTTAACCAATTTGCAGCGACCAAAATCAAGCCAACCAAGAGTGAGGAAGAAAAAGGCTGCTCAAAGTGAATCTCAAACCAACACTCAACAATGTCAAACAAATACCAGACCACGTGGTGGAAAGGCTTTTCATAGAACTCTGATTGAGAGTGGCATGGTAGTCCATATTGATGAGCAAACTAGGCATACTATGTACAATGCATTTAATTGCATGCTATGTAAATTTTTGGTCTCTTAATTATTATTATTATTCTTCTTCACAAATAGTCTAACCAATATGAAGAAGACAACAAGCCATGATTATATCATGACTGCTGGCTCATAAGGATTAGACTCTAATTACCTTTATCGATTGAAGGAAGTTCACCTTAGTGAGAGGAAGGGAAACAAGAAGTGCAAGGGGAAGGGGATAGCCGGATCATTTTAAGTTGTGGCTCTTTAGTTTAACTATTTTGTTGGACTTAGATGCAATTATTTTGGTGTTGTTGGCATCTTATACGTACCTGCCATATAATGGCCATCTTTTGTTATTATGGGGCCATGTTTACTATTATACTCTTTAAGCTATTGACTGGGGTAAGACAATTCGGTTCAAACTCTTTTGCTGCTGTAATTATGCCATGTAGTAACTTGAGCCATATATGGAATTTTCTATATTACAATTGGCAATCTTATATTTATATTTGCGTATCTTATAATTCTATTAGAATCGTATTTTTCTCAAGTTGTTATATTGTAATTACATAAATAAGGGCTCTGTACATGGTAATCAGGATAAAGGAGTTACCATTACAAGCTTATATTCCTCTTACATTTTATGTTCCCTATATTACAAGCTTATATTCCTATCAACAAAATGACAGAAATAAAATTCCATTACAATTACATTCCTCTTATAATTTATATTCCTTATATTACAAGCTTATTTTCCTCTCAAAAAAAAAAAATTACACAATTAATATCCCATTACAATTACAGTCCTCAAAAAAATTGCAAGTGTTAATATAGGCTTGCATAAAAATATTTTGGCATCATAACGAGTAATATGTATTACACAAAACATCCTAACATAGATTAGTTCATGATCATCTCCCTTTCCTTACACAATGTAGTCCACTGCTCCCAAACTTACATCACCACTTATGAAATCACCAAAACAAAAGGAAAAAAAAAAACACTATTGTCTGCTTCTACACTAGTTGTCCCAAACTTCCATCATCACTTAAGAAATGATAAAAACAGGGGGAAAAGATACCCAAGTCAACACCAATTCAGAGAATGCCATTATCAATCTTCTTCATATCGATGTAAATGGTAGCAATGTCAGCTTCAATGTCTCGACTTGATGCTTCCTCATTATCTACCCTCCTTAGCCTCACATTGTCATCATATAAGCTATCCACAATGCCTAGCAGCTCATTCATGACCTCTCTAGACCTCTCACCTACCTTACCATCATGCCAATAGAAATAGCCACAACCCCTTCCCTGTCAATTTGCCCCGTTAAAACAACCAAACCCCATCGAATATCATCAACAAACTAGAAAGCAGACATAAGATCGATTTACCTCTTCATAATTTTTGCACCCACAAAACCTCCTCCTTGGATTTAGCTCTATCTATGAAGTGCAAATCGACGCCACCACACCGCGGTGACAAAGCCTCACTAGTTCCCCACTGTTTTCACCCTACCCAACTCAACACCTCACCCTCCTCTTTCTTCCCGTCCGTGGTGATGATGCCGCTATGTCCCCCATTTCTTCCTTCTCTGCTATGCTTGACCCCAATACTTTATATGTAGATGTTGATTAAATTGAAGGCATTTAATTTGGCCCAACCTAATCAAACAACATTCAATAGCACAGGGATTATCACCTATATACAACGTCTCTCTGACCTGTCATGCCAGGTGGCTTCTTATCCTACCCAACAAACGTCAGTTGGCCCCCCATTAACCTAGGGCATGTCAGCTATGAACTTATACTTTCGAAACATTATAGAGACAAAAAAATTTCTAGTGCTTAGTGCTCCCCAATATACACTTCCAGAGTATTTTAACATCTTATCCAAATATTAAACAAACAATTATTTATTTAGTATACTATATTTAGAAGAATTTAAAGGCGGCTATTTATTTATAACATTTAATTAGTATGAATTTTATTACTCAACATATGTTGATAGAATATACATCATAAATTATTTATTGTAAGTTTTTTTGAGTGAAAATATGAATGTGATAAAATAATCTTTTCATATTCTGAATGAAAATACTATTGCACTGTAATAATAATGTAATAATAAATATTACATATATAAATTACTTTAATATCCATAAAGCCCCCTGTCCGTATCCAAGACTTTGATATCATGTGCAATAAAACGTGCACAAGACTTCTGATAGTTTGACTTTAAGACCAACGTATTTTTCTTATTTAAATTTGGTGTCATTATATTAGGGCTTTCGAACTATCACAGGACAGAACTTTTTTTTTTTTTTTACCTGACAGGGCAGAACAATTTGAAATGCTATAAAGTATGCATAAAAAATAAAGACATACTATAAACTATAGAAGCATGAATCAGACGTGTCGACATCAAAAAGAAAATGACCGAAGTACAAATTGGGTCTAACATTGAAAATGGCATTCATTCACTATTTCAGTCAGGAAGAAAATAACAATATGACAACAACCTCGCAGCAACTATTTCAAGGCTGGCTACCATAACAGTTAAACTTGTTGGGATTTAATTGATATCATATTTCAAGGCGGGAAGCCTCATCTGCTAGCTAGCCAACATTTGAAAGATGCTCTCAAGGGCGGCCAACCAAGACTTCATGCTGTTTATTTTAGCAATTGTATATTACCAACAGTATTTTATTTTGACAAACTATTTTGCAAATACTTATACTTTTCCTTGATTTTTAATTTGGTACCCATGTTATATTCTCTCTTTATTAAATCCTTTAACTTTGCTCTTTTAGTACCATTAGTCTTTATACAGAGGCTAACGGTGCTAGTAAAGCAAAGTTACAAAACTAACAGTGTTAACAAAGTAAAACTAAAGGATCTAATTGGGGGGGGGGGGGACGACATAGGTAATAAAAAATCAAAGGAAAGTACAAGTACCTACAAAATAGTTTCCCTACTTATTTTTGGGTCATTTTAACAAATCGATTCTAGTTGGCACAGGATGGATCTCAGAATCCATGGAACCAAACAAAGCGAGTATAAATTTATAGGCAGGTTCTGATAACACCAATCAAAACCATAGATAGATCTCAATGGCAGAGCACGGGGAAATACATCAAAATCTACTGTAGCCAGTGGAAGAGCTTACTTTTTCAAGGGAACCGGGTAAACACAAGCAAAGAAAGTACAGCAGAATAAGCAGCAGCCCCCAGCCGTGCTTGAAGCATAATTATTGATTGGAATCAGACTGATAACTCAGTCCGGGAGATGAGAATCCCGTCGGTATCTGCATAAAGCCATTCGCCATCACAGATCCTGGTCCCAGCAATATTAATAGGAACATGCTTTTCCCCCATGCCTTTCTTGTTGGCTTTCATGGGATGCGAAGCAAGAGCTCGCACCCCGATATCACAACCATTAATCTCATCCACATCTCTTATGCATCCATTCACAACTATACCTGCCCAACCGTTGTTTTGTGCTTGTACTACAGGGTTGCCACCCAATATTGCACACCTCAAACTACCACCCCCATCCACAACAAGAACTCTACCATTACCTTTTTCTTCAAGAAACTCACGAACCAACACGTTGTCTTCAAATACCTTCAGGGTAACTATGGGTCCAGAAAACACTTGTCGACGACCATAAATCTGAAATCCTGGCTGAAGGGCCCGAAGTTCCCCGCTTAAAATTAACTGAGGATTTGCATCACATACTTCCGCAGTTGTCACCAAGGCCATTTAGTCCCTTGTACTATTATAACCTGTGCATATATAACAAAAAACAACAGCATGTTTATGCTTGATTTGGGGGCATGTGTCTATGCTCTATAGGCATGTGATAATAGCTTTCAAATGATATGCGCCCAACAAAGGTCAGAGTGGTGCGGGTATTTCTTTATTATAGGACGCGATTATAAAAGTACACTGGGGAATTCCAAAAGGAAAAGATAATTAAATTACACTTACACTGAAAATACTTCTAGAAATTACTTTACAAAGTGATCTCTCCGCCAAAATGTCACAGGAAGTGGAAAATTGAAGCAGAAATGTGAGGAATTCAAGCTTCAACAATCACAAAATGAAGTAATGCTTCAAAATTATGCCTTTTGAAGGAACATAGTTTACAGCAAATACTAAGACAGACAATTCATCCAAATAACTAAAATAAACACAAGACAAGCCAATATTACTGATTTCATATGTAGAGTTTCTGAAGCCCAAATGAATAAGAAGTCATTAGTAACTGTCACAGGATGAGGGAAAATGCAGACAACTTAGCTATCCTAAAATAAAACATAACAGAATGCCCAAAAATCATTTCCATAATTTGAAATCAAACTCCACAGGCCATTCCCTTGCTCACCGATCAAGCCCTCATTTTACTTCCCTCTCACTCACCGCCAGATTACTTAAACAACGATCTGCACTTTCCAGCCAAGCGCAAATTAGATAACTAAGACGATAAAGAGGAAGGATCGAAAACATTCACGGAGATGTGATCTGCGTAAGGAGATGAGGCAGGGCCTTAATTGGACTAGAAAGATTTCTCCAACCAAAAGATCAAAATTATCGCAAAAGGATGGATTAATAATCATTGGAGCCGGATTTTGGCAGTAATAATCTGGCACTGAAAGAAAAAGCATCGTAATAAAATAGAACGGCAAAAATGGAAAACCAGAAAGCGAAACAGAGGAAAATAGCAGAAACCTAGAGATTACCCGGAGAATAAGCAAAAGGGGCAAAATAGAAAAGTGCTTGGATCAATATTCGAAATCACGAGATGGAATACTTGAGGAGAAAGAGAGGCTGGACTTACCAGATGGGAGAACAGGAAGGATAGATCTGAAGCAGGACTTCAACTGTGAAAGACGGAACATGAGGGCGGAGGAGATTATAGCTGTGCTTGTTAAATAGTGTCTTTTTGTTTTTGTTTTCTCTTTCCTAACGGAGAGTTTAGAAACACAATGAGCAGTTTGAAAAAAAAAAAATGAAAGTTGATATAAATTTCTTTTTACATACTTATTAGGAAAAATTCCAGATAAAGTCATTTGAATATACATAATTTCAGATTGGGTCTTGAAATTGTCTAAATGACAGAAAGGGTCAATGACCCCAATCTATCATTTCTAAAATTAAGACCAATTGATAATTTTGTCCTTACTTGTATTCATTCACTACAATAGTTTAAGGAATTACTATAAGGGTTTAGGTATTACCTAGATTTATGTAGAGAATAACTATTTATTTTTTTGTAGTCAGGAATGCCCCATAAGAAGGTGTCTTGTTATTAACTGCAACTAATCATGTAATCACTAGAACAGTATAAGCATTACCTAGATTTGTTTAGAGAATAACTACTCACTTTTACTTTCATTTGTATTGATTCACTACAATAATTTAAGGAATCACTATAAGGGTTTAGACGTTACCTAGATTCATATATAGAATAACTATTCATTTTTTCGTAATCAGGAATGCCCCATGAGAAGATGATTTGTTATTAACTACAACTAATCATATAATTACTAGAACAGTATAAGCGTTACCTAAATTTGTTTAGAAAATAACTACTCACTTTTGCTTAATCAGGACAAAATGGTCAATTGCTCTTAATTTTAGAAATGACAGATTGTGTCATTAACCCTTTTTATCATTTACATAATTCCAGGACCCAATCTGAAATTATATATCTTCGGAGGGCTTTATCTGGGATTTTCCCTACTTATTATATATATATATACACACAGTAAAATTATTTTCAAATATTAGTTCCAAACAACTAAAAATGAAAAGCCCTTATATTGTATTTGTTTCCTTTTCATATTTCATAAGACTGATGATTAGATAATTAAATTATGTAAATGGAAAAATTGATTAAACTAAGTAAACTTCTATTATATCAAGCCTTTTTTGGGCCGACAATATCAAGCCCTTATATCAACTTATTTTTCAAAAAGAGAGTTTTGTCCATTCATTTTATTAAGTTTTCCAATCATACAAGGTTATGTGTTTTATTTTTAAAATATATATTATCATTAAACTATAAAATCATTTAAAAAAATTGGACACATAGTCATATGTGATGAAAAATTTGACATAATAAATATAAACAATTTGATGTAAGTATTTTCTTTTTCAAAAAAAATATTGCTTATGAAAAATGAGGGTGGCAAGAGATCATGAGTGAACAAATATGAGACAGAAAGAATGAATTAAAAAACAAGCAAGAGACATGTAATTGATTGATGATAAAAAAAAAACACATTATATATTTAAAGTGGGACAATATTTATATCAAATTCTTTATATATATTATGTCAAGTTCTCTGATCACAAATAATCATATGTACTATTTTAAAAATATTAGCATTTAATAACATTTAATTATAAACCCGCATTCAAAAAAAAAAAGGGCATATGGCCATGTGTGATTGAAAAATTTGATATAATAAATATAAGAAACTTGACATAAGTATTTAAGACCAAATTAGTTACCTAATTTTTATGTTTAGGACAAAATGAGTATTTAAGGTTCAAATATAATTTTCAATTTGTTATTGAAACTACCTAAAATTTAATAATTTACCTTTATTGTAGAATATATATGAAGGAATGCTGATAAATTTCTCCCCTGCCACGTCTTAAGTAAAGTTTATTAAATTTGGAAGTTATTTTGAAGTAAAAAAAAATAGTATTTTGAGAATTAGTTAGAACTAGAAGTACTAGGTTGTTAACTTGGAAGTTTCTTATAAAGCGATTGAAAAAAGTCAAAGTTATTTTGGAAAAAAAATCTAAAATTCAGTTGAAAAAAATGGTAACTCATTTGATTTTGCTTCTAAACTGGAAAGATGAATTTTTTTTTTTAAAATCAAACATGACTCCAACATTAAGTAGTGGCCTTAGCACAAATTCTAGCAGTTCTTAAGCTACTCTATTAAATTGTGTAGTTTAAAAAAACAGTTAAAATTGATTAAAAGTAATAAATATATAAGAAATGAATTTTTTTTAAGCATGCCCTTATTTATAAGGGGCAAATAAGAGAGAGAAAGTATGAAAGAAAATATAATAAAACTTTTAATTAATGCAATAAATAAAATTAATAAGAAACAGAAATGTTAAAAAACATATTAAATGCTTAGATAAGAGGACAAAAGTAATTCAAATTTCATTTTATAAAAAGAATCGGTGGAGTACATTTTTATCCTCTAAAAAATCTTATATACGCCTTAGTCATTTTCAGAAATGTTGGAATTCAAATTTTTTAATTGTGGTTTATAAGACCCTTAAATGCCTTTTCCCCTAAAATGTTTCGGTATAAAATTACAAAAACTAACAAGATCGATACAAATTGAATGAGTCATAGGTTCTGGACGACCGCGACCAGTTTGCAAGCTGGAGCTTCCTTTTTTGTTTTTTTTAGTGATTGCGTCATGACAACGCTACGTTGGTGATGCGATGGATAATGCGCGGCAAAAGCGAACAAGAAGTGCGTTGAATATTTTTCACTGGAAATAATTATAAAACATTGTTAAGAGAAAGGAGAAATAGATATCATTTGAAATTTCAAATTCTTCTAAGTCGAAAGAAAAAACTCAAATTCTAAAATGATTAAAAGGTGACAAGGTGTCAAGTTTAATTGTTTTGTTTGACTAAAACTCCTATTACGTAGCACTCACAATCCAACTCATGCTGACCTCAGTATTTTTATTCATTTTCAGTTTTTCCTCCCTCATTACCCTCTTTTTTCTCTCCCACATTCAGTACTTTTTTTTCCCTGCTTTATCCTCTTCGTTGACCAGTTTTATCATTCTTCGACTAAAAACTTGACTTACAAATGATTTTTTAATTATGATTTACGGAATACGAGATATAAAAAAAAAATTTATTTCAACTTGCATGAAGATGCTTATAAGCATTTAAAATGAATAGATGCAGATAAGTCCTAGAGTGGCGGATGGACCCAAATATATCAGGCTTCGTGCTCCTCTTCCATCCCTCTTCCTCTGATCCATAATCTCCAACTGCTCTCTTGCATTTTTTTAGGGGGTGTTTGGCATTCTCAAAACCGCGGTTTTAGAAGCACTTTTCTGTAAAACGAGATAACCTCCTCCACATATTTACTTCGTAATCCGTAAAAGTACTTCTGAAACTATGGTTTGGTTTCTATCCAAACACCCTTAATTTATTTTAACTTGAGGAGGACGACCGCGAAAAGTTGCTCATGAGCACAACATTCTCGCATTTTCTTCCGCAAAACTTGACAGACCGGACCTCAAAGCGATAGTGACGTTGGAACCAGGGGCTGCTTCTGAGAGTTGATGGTTGAGTTAGGGCAAGGGAGCATTCAGTTGAAGGTGGTAAAGATTGGCCAAACAGTGGTAGAAAATGAGTGAAATTTCATGAACTGTTAATCTTAGTTTCCATTGTAATGTGTTCTCGTTGCATGCTTATCAGGATTAAAAAAAAAAAAACAAAACGAGAATAAAAAACTTTATAATGGCTCGTAGTTTCTTGCTGGAGGCATGTTCCCATTGCTAAAAGCTAACTGTTGCAATTTCCACACTAACTTTAAAAGTAGGGCGGCATTGCTACGTTTTGTAATCTTTTATAATGATATTGCTCCGAAAAATGATTTCTAAATATCCACATTCTCCAATGAAAATTTTCGAGACAAAATTAGGCATTAACAACCTAAGTCACCATCGCCGATCAACCATTAGAGCATTAGCATTGGCGATCGTTTTTTAGTGCCTTTATAAGGTTTGGAAAAAATTTAATTATATTCCTCCGGTTCCTTAATATAAGACCCATTTAACTAATTTGATTAAATTAAGGAAGTTAGGTAAATTGGTTAATTATAAAAAAGTGACACATTTTTCCTAAAACACCATA